AATACACAGGCAGGTAGGCAGGCAGAGACTGAGAAGTTGGGCCTGACACAGGTTTTTGAAACCACAAACCTAAGTCCCAGTGACACACTTCCCACAAGGCCACAACTCTTCCAACAAGGCTACACCTACTGATCCTCCCTGGTGACTAAGCTTTCAAATAGAGCCTGTGGTGGCTATTTTCATTCAAACTACCACAGTAACCCTCTTTTCTATAAAGCCTATATAAAGAGGATGACACATGGTTCCTCCTCTATTATTAAGGGATGCCTTTGTTTTCAGGATGATGTGAAAACTTAATAGCAATTTATAATTGTGTCTAGAGTAACCCCATTACCATGGCCAAGTTAAGAGAAAATCCATCTGTTTCTTTGTTGCACCTTATTGGATAAGATTCTATGAAATTACCAATATTTACTGCTTTGACTTACCAAAATAGCCCTTTTACATCATTCAGCCTAATAGAACCTTGTGACTATTTTTCTTCATTTATCAGAATAAATTATTTTTTAGTAACAAAGGTGCATGCAATTGATACAAAGAGACCTGGATTTGGGCCCTCACTCTTTGACTCTATAGTTGTGTGGACTAAGGAGCTCTGTGGGAGCTCCCTACCTGTAAAATGCACATCAGAGCAGTACTTCTAGAGGGCTGCTATGAGTTGAAATGATAAGAGCTATAAAATATTTAGCATGATCTCTGGCATGTAGTAATTGCTCACACCAATGCTTATTAAGACACCAAAAGCCGGGAAAGACAATAGCATGTTAAGGTAAAGTGGTGTTAAGTCGTGTGTTTCAGGTCACTCTCCTATGCTGTGCTAAAACACCCCAACAAAAAGCAATCCAAGAGACAAAGGGCTTATTTTGTCCATCATGGCAGAGAGTCAAAGCAGTAGGAGCTTGAAGTGGCTGGTCACATCACATCCAGAGTCAGGAAGCAGACAAGGACGACTTCTAGTTCCAGAGTGTTCTATCTGCACTATATACAGTCGAGCATCCCCATCTAGGGAATGGTCCGACCCCCAGCTATGCTGGGTCTTCTCACATCAATTCACACAATCAAGATAATCCTCCACAGCCATTGTCAGAGGCTCACCTCAACCTGCATATTCCTCACAAGGATGCCCGAGGCTTATCTCCTACATGACTGTAGATTTTATCAGGTTAACAGTTAACACTATTACAGCATAGTAAGGCCAGGTGATATCAAATAGTGAGATTGGCATCATGTTCTTCCCCACTGTCCTGATTTGAGATATGCAACCGTGGCCGGGTGGTGGTGGCCTCTAGTCCCAGCACTTGGGAGGCAGAGGCAGGCAGATCTCTGTGAGTTCGAGACCAGCCTGGTCTGCAAGAGCTAGTTCCAGGACAGCCTCCAAAACTACACAGAGAAACCCTGACTCTAAAAACCAAATAAATAAATAAATAATAAAAAGAGATATGCAACCTTCTAACAACAGCAGAGTCAGGTGGGGTGGACCATGGCAACCTGTGGTGAATGTCTGGGACCTGTCCTGGCTCTGCTTTCTGGAGTGTGTCCTCTAAGCATGGAGGTATACTCAGACTTCAGAAGAGAATGCAACTAAGTGGAAGGGACAAATGACTCTTGACCTGTAATTTTCAAGTTTCCTGTTTCTCTGGAAATTGGCTGGCTTCTGTTTGCTGAATTTACTGTGTACCAGCCAGGTCAAAATGAAATGCTTGTGCTGTAATTTTAAAATCAAGCCACATCCCAGAGACTCCTCACATCAGGCTCTTGTCAGTCTTTAACATGTAATCTGTGAGTAATCACAGTGATGGTTTGGGAAAATCTATTGTAAAGGAGGAAATGAAAGAACCAAAGGCATGGTGGGTCCACATTCAGCTCTCTGTCTCATTTGCATTATGGAGCAGGGATGTATTTTCTTGATGAGGTCTTTCACACTTACCTGGCAATCATATTCATACACCAGAGGATCAGAGAAGCAATACATCCAGATGTTAAAGGGACAATCTGTCCAGCTGGCCTGGGCTTGATTTGCCCTCATGCCTCTTATATGGTCACATGAGTTGGGAAACTGTCACATGCTGTTTATCTTGCTTTTCTATTGCTGTGAAGAGACACCACAACCAAGGCAACTTATAAAAGAAAGCATTATCACTGGGAGCTTGATTATAATTTCAGAGTGTCAGTATAGTCCATGACCATCACAGTAGGGATAATGACAGCAGGCAGGCATGGCAATGGAGCAGTAGCCAAGAATGCACATATTAAGACAACACCCACAAGGCAGGGGAAAAGCTAACTGGAAATGGCAAGGGCTTTTGAAACCTCAAAGCCCACCCCCAGTGACAAACCTTCTCCAACAAGGCCACACCTCCTAATCCATCTTAATTCATTCCATCAAATGGGGACCAAGCATTCAAACATATGAGCCTATGGGGGCCATTATCATTCAAACCCCCACACTGTTTGATATCACTGAGAAGCTGAGTCTGGAAACGGGGTTGGACCCCACCCCCATTTCAAAGCAACCCCACCTCTATCTAGGTATGAGCTGACCTCTCTTGCCTTTGACAGGAAGAAAGAACTACAGGTATCTAAGAGTATTAAAAAACTTTGTGGTCTTGAGAACAGCTAAGGTAAGCCATTTCCAGCAAGATTGATTATTATTTATTCCTTAATATGAAAGTGCCATCGGTGGAAATGGGAAGCCAGCACCTCAGCTATAGGAAGCTCATCTGTAGAAAGAAAGCTCTCAGTCAAGAACTCTGGCTGACTGCCTCAGTTTCTCCAATGGGATTTATTTGATGATATTCTCTGTCTGTTGTTTGTTCTTTTACTTGGCAGCTTCACCCAAGATGACATTCTGCTGCACCATGTCTCTCGATCTGCTTGAACCCCAGCTGGCTCCCTCAATGGGATATCTCTAGTGGATTTCTGCTGGATGATCATAGGTGCCCAATCTGATACTGTTTTTGCTGTCTAATGAGGCTATTTACTACTTGTTTCAAGGTATTTGAATATACTGTGTAAAGATACGTCACTGTGATTGGTTTAATAAAAAGCTAAATGGCCAATAGCTAGGCAGGAGGTATAGGTGGGACTTCCGGACAGAGAGACCTCTGGGAAGAAGGAAGGGGAGTTGCCAACCAGACACAGAGGGAGCAAGACATGCAGAAAGAGTGGTAAAAAGCCATGAGCCCTGTGCAACACATAGATGAATAGAAATGAGTTAATTTATCAGAGCTAGTAGGACAAGTCTAAGCTATGGGCCAAGCTTTCATAGTTAATAAGAAGTCTCTGTGTCATTTTTTTGTGAGCTGGTGACCCAAATAAAAAGCCTACTACAACTATGTGCTATTTATTCTTTTTCTTTTAATTGCTGTGTATTTAATAAACTCATTCGTGGAAAAAAAAAACAAAACAAAAGCATAGCCATTACAGGTCATTCATTCTTCAGTTCATACAGAACACTTGGCAAGTTCTTTGAACTTCTTCTGTCTCTATTTCCTCTAAGTTTAAGGTAATAATGGAAACTGTCTGGTTATTAGTGTTAAAATTATTAAAACAACACACTCAGAGCCAATGAAACATCCCAAACCTTAAAATTCTTTGAAATGACCATATGAAATTGTTTATTTTAAAGTCTTAAACTTTCAAGAACCATTCAGGTTTATGGAAAGCCATTTGGAAAATCATATGGAGAATTTGGGCTTCTTGATTACTTTTCTAATACCACCTGAGTGTATTTATACAGAGTTCAGACCAAAGATCTAGCTGGGTTGTAGTCATCAGCATTTGATGACAGTCATGGGAAAATTGACAGGCAACCAGCTCCTGTAACCCAGGCTCTAGGACCCTGTCCTTTCTAAGGCAGACTTCAGTCCCAAAGTGGAGTGTGAGGAAAACATCACTTGGTTAGGAGGCCGCTCTGAATGCTGGGCTGTGTGACTTGGGGGAGGAAGCCCAGCTGGAGGGAATTTAGAGCTCTTGGTAGGCAGCCTGCTGAGGTCGTCCTTGAGAATCATTGGTCCACCTAGACCTGCAGCCTCCCTTCTCTGTTCCCCTCTGGGTCAGAGGCACATCGGGCACTCTGATGTAAACCTCCTCTCTCTGAAGAAACTAGAGGAAATCCTAACTGATGAGCTCAAGTTCTCTTAGAGCATGGCCAGGGGATGGGGAAGGACAAGAGCCATTAGAATTCAGTTTTCTGACTGTGGTGGTGGTACATGCCTGTAACCCCTTCCACAGGAGGATTGGGACTCCAGGGACATTATCTATTAAAACCAGTTTTTAAAAATATACAACTTTGAAAAAAATATACAACTTTGATTTGCATCTTCAGTTTGGTTTTCACTGATATGTAAAGTGCTAGGCTACAATGGAGGTTTTTACTTAACCCTCCAGGGGTTATGGGAGTACAGAAATTATATCCACCAACCAAAAACAAAGTCAGGCAGAGGTTAAATAACTTATTATTATTATTATTATTATTATTATTATTATTATTATTATTATCAAATCCCACAGCTATTATGGAGGAAGGTAAGCCAAACATCAAGTGTTGTATTGTCTAACTTTTCAGATGCCTTCACTAGCTCCCTGTCATCTCCAGTCACCAGCTGTGAAAACAGTTCTGCCCTGGCTTACTCCACCTAATGTCTGCATTCTCTTTGCCTTGCAATTTCCCCCACTCAGCACCCTCTTATGACCTACAGGTGGAAGGGAAGGGGGAAGTCATCCCAGGACTTGGCCCAGTGGATTGGGTGTCAGTTTCCAGCACCGGGAGATGAGAGTTTAGTCTTCAGGCTAGCTATAATTAGCCAAGTGTGGCCGCTGTCGGGATCTGTATACAGCAGTCCTAAGCAGAGTGGGCATTCAAGTGAACGCAAGCAGAAGCCTACTGTCTCCTGCCCGGAACTAAAAGAGAGCAAGTGGAAAGGAGGGCTTGACCCTGGCCGAGATGGCTGCAGGTGTTTGCGGTTTTGTTCTTGGAGAACCCTATCGTTAGTTCCTGTCTAGCTCACTATTCCAAAGTAGTTGTCCTCTTGGGGTGGAGGGAGGGGCTGACAGCTCTGTGAATTGAAGACAGTTCTGGTTTTCTGGGCGCGGCTCAGGCATCCTTCTGTCATGCCTGGTCACCTACAGCAATCTCACAGCCTGAGCCTTGAGCTTTTTGAAGATGGCAAGTGTTTCCTCAGACTTGGAGCATGTCTCCTCCCTTCCTGCCTGGAAGGACTGTCTTGAACTCCCTTTACCTGTCTGAAGAACCTCCCCCTGGTCTCTCTCTCCCAACGAATTTCCAGGCTTACTTTCCTTTTCACTGGCAGAGCCTGACTCCAGCCCCTTGGTTTCAGGAAACCTTCCCTTTCCAGCTTCATCCCTGGAGAAGGGGAAGGAACAGGATGACAGCGACGACTCTGCAGAACCTGAGGTGCTGTGCAGCGTGGAGCACCCCAGCCAGTTCTTCGCTGAAGCACAGAGACTGCGGGAGCAGAAGCTGCTGCTGGATGAAGAGGTGTCAGTAGAGGGACAGGTATACGGGGTGCATCGGGTGATCTTGGCTGCAATCAGCAGCCTCTTCCAGGGCAGACTGAGGGGCAGTGGAGGTCAACAGCCTCGCTTCTGCCTCGACGTGACCCGGAGGGGCTGGGAGGCTGCACTGACCTTTGCGTATGAGGGGGTGCTGGGCCCCGCCTCGCAGGGCGAAGTGCTGGCTGCTGCAGAGGCGCTGGGAGCGCCCCGGGTGAAGAACGCGGTCCAGCTGAGGCCAGAAGGGCTTTGCAAAGCCAGGGAAGATGAAAGGAAGCTCAGCCAGGCAGAGGAGCTGAGGGAGAGCCTGCACAGCATTGAGCGTCTGTTTCGAGAGGGCATCGGGTGCGACCTGGAGCTGGAAGCAGAGGGCTACCGCCTGCGGGGTGAGGACCTGGGGGCAACTGCTAAGAATGCATGTCGCAGGGTTTTGTTTATTTTGCGGTCCTAGGAACGGATCCTAAGTCCTCACTTTGCCTCTACCACTGGGCCACACCCCCGGCCCTGTGTCAGAGTTTGGATCATTTCTCTGGCAAGAATGTCCTTTTTGGTGCTTTTCCAGCGCCACCAAGAGATGCACATGCGCAGTTGAATTGTTTTCCTAGACGCCCAGTAGCTAGATTTCCAGCCACCTGACTGGGGCTTATAGTATAGTCCATGGCAGTAAAACAAGCAGAAAGTAACTGACTCAAACAAATTAACCAGAGGCCCTTGACATCTTCTAAGCATACATCAAACAGAAGAGGAAATCGGTAGAAATCTCCCAATGTGTCCTTTCTCCTAGGTGTGTTTGACTCTGGCAGCAGACTCCAGCCTGCTTCCTCTAAACCAGTGATCCTCAACCTTAATGTGGCAACCCTTTAATACAGTTTCTCATGTTGTGATGAGAACACAATTATTTTCGTTGCTAGTTCATAATGGTAATTTTTCTACTGTTGCTGGGTGGTGGTGGCTCCTGCTTTTGATCCCAGCGCTTGAGAAGCAGAGGCAGGTGAATTACTGAGTTTGAGTCTACAGAGTGAGTTCCAGGACAGCCAGGGATACACAGGGAAATCCTGTCTCAAAAAAACAAAACAAAACAAAACAAAACAAACAAAAAACCCACCAAGAATTGCTAGAGTACAAATCATAATGTAAACACCTGTGTTTTTGGATGGTCTTAGGCAACCCCTTTGAAAAGGTCTTTTAACCTTCATGGGATGGAGACCCACAGGTTGAGAACCACTGCTCTATACTGTGCAGTGCCTGCTAGTCAGTTACACCATGGTGTGTCTAACTTGGAACCTGTAGTCTGTATGAGACACAAGGAAGTTTAAAGTTACAATAGATTTGTTTGGAGATCACCTAGTTCAGGACTAATACTTCAGCTATGAAGAAACCAAGCCAGGTTTGGTGGCTTATGACCGTGATTCCAGCACTAATGAGACTGAAAAAGAGGACTGCCTAGAGTTTGGGGCCAGCCTGGGCTACACAGTGAGCTCTAGGCTGGTGTGGACCCATCTCACAAACCAAAATGAAAAAGGAAAGAAAAAACAAATCTAGTATGGCCTTGTGACAGTAACACTTAGGATGCTACAAAAGGAGGATCTGCATGACTTCAAGGCCAGCCTAGGCTGACTCCAAACCATGCCCAGTCACACCATTAAGTTCTTAGTGGAGGTACTCTAGAAGGAAAGCTATCCTTAAAGGCTTTCTACCTCATGGCATTAACTGGAGGGTGATGCTTTAAAATGTTATAATTACAATATTCTCATGAAGGTTTGGGGTCCCCACATATTCATAACCTTATGTGAGAACTCATCACTTTAACTCTTAGGGTACAGCAATGAGTAAGAGGAGATTTCAAGTGGCTGTGAGCTTTTCACTATTGAGTCTTAGATACAGATGTTGGTTGTGAAATGAAAACTGAGCTGGATTAGCTCATTTCTCAGAATGTAGATTTTCTCAGACAACATAGACTAGGAAGCTGTAACTGATATCTATTATATTTGGAACACACAAAGCCACTACCTAATGCTTAAAGAGACAATAGAAACATCATTATCATCAGTTGCCCTTTGAAAGGTACACATTCCACCACTGGTCAAAACAGTATGGAATTCGTGAGATTCTCAGGAACACAGAGGCCTAAGACTTCCTGAAACAGCTTCTAGCAGTGTTCTTCTTTCTCTCATGAAATATTTCAAATGCAAAGCAAAAATAAACACTCAAGCATTCATCACACTGGCTTAACAATTAATATGCTACTATGTCTATTTATTTTGGCTTGGTATTTTACTGAGGGTTATATGCATTTTAAAACAAACAAAGGAGGGACTAGAAAAATGACTTGTGGTTAAAAGCTCTTCTTAGTCTTCTAGAGTTTGGTTCCTAGCATTCTCATTGGGCAGACCACAACTGTCTGGCCTCCATGAGAACCTATACTCCCATGCTTCTAATCATACATAGACATAATTGAAATACTAAAAACAAATCTTTAAAAGGAATATTTGGGCTTTTACTTTCTGTTTTGTTTTTTATTTTGATAGAGTCTCACCAAGTTGCCCAGGTTGATCTTGAATGCATTCTCAAGCCCAGGCAGGCTTTGAACTCGTGATCCTCTTGCCTCTGTATAACTGGGGTTACAAAGCCTTCAACACAAAGCCCAATTCTATTTAAAAACAAACAAACAAACAAAAACACTTCTATACTCAGAAAATATTGCATTTAATTATTCATGTGTGCGAAAGTATGTGTGGATGTGAGCAGCAGAACGTTTTAGTACTACAGTGTCTGTGGAGTCAGAGGGCAGCTTACAGGAAGTAGCCTCTCCTTCCATGTGGGTCCCAAGGTCAGAGCTCAGGTCTTTGGTGTTGATGACAAGTCCCTTTAGGAACTGAGCCATCTTGCATACCCCTTGTTGTTTCTTTTCTTTTCTTTTCTTTTTGTTAATTTTTCTTATGTGAATTAGAAACAAGATTGTTTTACATGACAATCCCAGTTCCCTTGTCCCTCCTGTCCTCCCCTAACCCCCCCCAACTAAAACCCTACCTATCACATATCCTTTCTGCTTCCCCTGGATGGTGAGGCCTTCCATAGGGTGTCATCAGAGTCTGTCATATCCTTTGGGATAGGGCCTAGGCCCACCCCCGTGTGTCTTGGCTCAGGGAGTATCCCTCTATGTGGAATGGGCACCCAAAGTCCACACCTATGCTAGGGATAAGTACTGAACAACTACAGGAGGTCCCGTAGATTTCTAAGGTTTCCTCACTGAAACCCATGTTCCTGGGGTCTGGATCAGCCCCCATGCTGGTATCCTAGCTATAAGTCTGGGGAGCAAGAGTTCCCCGATATTCAGGTCAGCTGTTTCTGTGGGTTTCACCAGCCTGGTCTGGGCCTCTTTGCTCTTCACTCGTCCTTCTCTGCATCTGGATTCCAGTTCAGTTCAGGAATTAGTTGTGGGTGTCTGCTTCTACTTCTACCAGCTGCTGGATGAGGGCTATCAGGTGGCATATAAATCAGTCATCAATCTCATTATCAGGGGAGGGCATTTAAGGTAGCCTCTCCTCTGTTGCTTAGATTGTTAGCTGGTGTCATCTTTGTAGATCTCCAGACATTTCCCTAGTGCCTGATTTCTCTGTAAACCTAAAATGTCTCCATCTATTATGGTATCTCCATTCTTGTTATCTTCTATTCTTCCCCTGACTCAACCTTTCTTCTCCCTCATGTCCTCTGCATCCCTCCTCTTCTCTTCTCATTCTCCTAGCTCCCTCCCCCCTCTTCCAGTGCTCCCAATTTAAAAATATGGAACTCTTCACGAATTTGCATGTCATCCTTGCGCAGGGGCCATGCTAACCTTCTCTGTATTGTTCCAGTTTTAGTATATGTGCTGCTGAATTGAGCACTCTTTCTTTTCTTAAAGGCTTATTTGTTTTATACATATGTGAATTCCTGCATGTATGTCTTGCACCATGTGTATGCCTGGTGCCTACTGAGGCCAGAAGAGAGTGTCTGGTCCTCTAGAACTGGACTTAAAGGTGATTGTGAGTTGTCAGGTAGGTGCTGGAAACCAAACCTGGGTCCCCCGAAACAGTAGCAAGAATGCTATCATGCCTGGCAGGAGTATAGCCATTTTGATTGGATAGCTGATGGCTGTAACTCTTGCAGCTATAAATGAGAATTCCTTATTTTGTTCACAGTGCAGTGATACCTTTCTAAGTTGTTTATTGCTCTATTCAGTTTATTTTGTGTTCTATTAGCAAATGTTGTGTATAGGATTTTCTCAACTGGATTCATTAAGACCGTTTTTTTGGTTGTTTTTTTTTTTTTTTCTAGCTGGGTAGTGGTGGCACACACATTTAATCCCAGCCTTTGGAGGCAGAGGCAGGAGGCTCTCTGTGAGTTTGAGACCAAGCTGGTCTACAGAGTAAGTTCCAGGACAGCCAGGGCAATACAAAGAAACCCTTGTTTCGAAATGTCAAAAACAAGCAAAAAAGACTTTTTCTAGCTAACATGGACCCAAAATACTAGTGTCCTCCAGACACTAACATGAGAATAATACAGAGTTCCTGAAAATTTTAAAATAAAGGCTGGGTACGGTAACACATGTCAGGTCTCCACAGTAAGTTCTAGGCCAGCCAAGACTCTGTAATGAGACCCTGTCTCCAGAAAGAAAGAAAGATATTAAAGCAAAGACCTCCCCCCAAGTTACTATTTAGACCTTGGTATCATAATCCAGGGAGAGTCAGGAAAGCTCCATTTTGCTTGTTTATTTATCCAGTGCGGCACTGGGAAAGGAGGAATCCAGGCTTTGCACATGCTAGACAGGTAACCCCTGCTGGACTATGTCCCCAGAATGAAAGCTGAAAACATTCCATACTATTCTAGTGTACACCTATGGCCTTGGGTGATTGGATCAAAATTGGGTTTACAAGTTGTCTTGCAACAGACTGGGTTTCCTTTGCTTCCTCTCCACTGCAGTGCACCGAGTAGCCCTGGCCTGTGGCAGTGAGTTCTTTGGGGCCATGCTTCTGAGTGGCATGAGGGAGTCTCAGGGCACAAAGGTGTGTCTTCGTACCATCTCTTCCCAAGACCTAAGACTCCTCGTTTCGTTTGCCTACTCTGGAGTTGTACGAGAAAGATGGCCAGGATTGCTACGAGTCGCCCAGGCTGCGCTGCAATACCAGAGCTCCTCCTGCCTGGATTTGTGTCAGAGAGCCTTGGCTCAAAGCCTCTGTCCTGCCCTTTGCCTGGCTCTGTTTCCTATGGTTGAAACCCCTGGTTTGGAGAAAGTCTGGGGGAAAGCCCATCGGTACCTCCTCACTCATCTGCCTGCTGTGGCTTTGTGCCCTACTTTCCCATCTTTACCGGCTACCTGCCTGGCTGAGCTCTTGGATAGTGATGAGCTCCATATACAAGAAGAATTTGAAGCTTTCATGGCTGCAAGGCGTTGGCTGGCTGCCAACCCCGACACCCAGGAGTCAGAGGCCAAGGCCCTGCTGCGATGTGTCCGCTTTGGCCGCATGTCTACCAGAGAGCTGAGGAAGGTGAGGGCAGCGGGGCTCCCTCCACCTCTGTCCCCGGATCTGCTGTACCAGCTGATGGTGGAAGCTGAAATTCCAGGACAAGAGAGGTGGAGGGAGCCTGACCAAGCGCTGGTGGTGATTGGTGGGGATGGGCTTAGACCTAACATGGACCGAAGACAGCCATCTTGCAAAGTGTGGTGGGCCCGGGCTTTCCACTGTGGCATGGGTCTGGTACGAACTGTGGAATGGTGCCGGCTGCCTGACCTGCCAGCCCCAGGGCGCTTTCGGCATGGAGCTGCGAGCCTAACAGGAAGTGAACTCTATGTGTGTGGGGGACAGGATTTCTACAGCCACGCCAACACGTTGGCTTCAACTCTCAGGTATCATCATTGTGTTGCAGGCCCCCATGTGGACAAGCAAGAGAAAATGCTAATCCAGCCAGCCAAAGCTTAACCCCCCCCCCCATAGGCTCCCAGGGTCCCCCTTTTTTTTTTTTTTTTTTTATCTTGTTCAACTGTGTCCAGGTGGAGCTCCAGTCAAGAAGACTGGGAGGAAATGGCACCTTTGTGCCAGGCTCGGAGCTTTTTCCCGCTGGTGGTGTTTGATGGAGAACTTTATGCCCTGGGTGGACGGGACAATGGTGTTGCCCTTAATTCCGTCGAGGCCTATAACCCTGAACTCAATGTCTGGAGGTAAGCTGGCAAAGGGGCACCGGGCAGAAACTAGATTTGGAACAGGAGTGTGAAGCTGGGCATAGTGGCACACACCTGTAATCCTAGCACTCAGACGCTAAGGTGGGAGCCTAGGCTACACAGCAAAATCTACCTCAGAATAAAATGAAATAGAGTCGAACATTCTGGCTGCCTGATCTGATGTTCTGTTCTCCCTTAGGCCGGCACCTGCTCTCCCAGCACCATGCTTTGCCCATACAGCTGCCATCCTCGAGGGCCGATTGTATGTAAGCGGTGGCTGTAGTGGGACTGGCCAATACTTGGACTCATTGATGCTCTATGATCCCAAACTTAAGAAGCCTGGGACACTTTTGAGCCCAATGGGAGTAGCTCGGGCTGGTCATGTGATGGCTGCTCTGGGTGGGAGGTTGTATGTGGCAGGTGGGATAGGTGACACTGGGGACCTACTGAGCTTTGAAGTCTATGAACCAAAGACTGATAGCTGGACTCACCTGGCACCCTTGCCCTCTCCCCATGTGGGGGCTGCAGGTGCTGTGCTACAGGGGGAGTTACTGGTACTGGGGGGCTACAGCCACCGCACTTATGCCATCTCCCACCTTGTCCATGCCTACTGCCCTGGTCTGGACCGCTGGCTCTGCCTGGGAACTCTGCCGAGACCTCGGGCTGAGATGCCTGCCTGCATCTTGACATTGCCCAGTGTGCAGCACATAGCTTTGGTCCCTACCCAGCACCAAAACAAACCTTCTGGGTGACCGAGATCAGCAGTGTATGAGGGAGGAAGGGGTAAGAATACCATGACAAAAGGACAGAAACTATGAGAGGATAAAGAAGTTGTACTTGCTTGCTTACTTTTTAAAATTATCAAAAAGTATCATTAGAAAGGTTCTTGTTATTGTAGCTCTGGCTGGCCTTGAACATGATGTGTAGCAAAGGCTGGCCTCAAACTCAAAGTCCTGCCTCAGCCTCCTGAGTGCTAGGATTGCATGCACTAGCCTTCCTTGATTGAGAGGTCTTATGATGATGATGATTGACAGGGTTTCGAGTATCCCAGGCTGGCTTATAACTCCCTATGTTATCAAGGATGATCTTGAAAGAATTGGGTTCACAGGCATATACTGCCATACCTGATTTGTGGTAGAGATCAAACTTGGGACTTCCTGCATGCTAAGTAGGTACCAAACCAACTTAGCTACATCCCTAACCCTAAAAGAAGGCTTTGTTCTTTTTTGTTTGCTTGTTTTGTTTTTAAATTGTTTAATATTTATTTATTTTATATGTATGGGTATTTTGCTTGCATGTATAAAGTGAACCAGGTGTTTATCTTGTGACTGCAGAGGCCAGCAGAGGACAGCAGGTCCTTGAACTGGAGTTGCAGACAGTTGTGAACAGACATTTGGGTGCTTGGAACTGAACCCTGGTCCTCTAGAAGAGCAGCAAGTACTCTTAATTGCTGAACCATCTCTCTAGCCCCATATTTTGTGTCTTGAGGCAGTCTCATTATGTAGTGCAGATGAGAACACTTTATTCTTGTTAGTATTTTACTCCGCCCTGAACCTTGAAGCTTTTGTATATTTGATCTCTGCTAAGGAACAGGCGGTTCTGGAACTCATGGGAAATGGGCCTTGTGAGAAGGACCGGCAAATAAATACTCCCATAAGATAGGCACCCAGGATGAACTCACAAGGGTTAATGGTTAGTTGGGAGCTAAAGCTGGAGCTCATTGATGGAGCACCTACTTAGCATAGGTAAGGATCTGGTTCAATAATCTATGGCATCAAAAAATGAATTAATTAATTAAAACTACAAAAACCACACATCAATAGTCAAAATATAGGGACCAGGAAAGGACATTGGGACAATAGGGAAATTGATGGAGGAATGTGAAATGAATTAAACAGTGCTCTCTTTCTTGGTACTTTCCCATTTTACTCTCCCATCTCAGGAGACCTAAATCCTCCTAACAATATTCTTTCTAAGGTAGGTTTGTAGGTTCATCCTTGGCTCCATAGACTGCCTGTAGAGTCTTTCAGTTCCCACTTGAGACGGAAATGCCCATTAGGTCTAGACACGGTGGAGCACACTGGGAATCCTGGCATTTGAGAGGTGGAAGCCAGAGGACCAGGACTTGAGGTTGTTTTAAGAGAACCAAACCAAAACCAACAAAACAAACAAAAACACCAAGAAGGAAAAGTTTCCATCAAGATTTGGACCACATGCACGGGGACCTGAAGCCAGGGTGAGATGGGAGTATTCATGGTGGAAGGGAAGAGAAAGACAGAGGCCAAGGAGAGAGTATCCGTGGTGGCAAATGAGGTTGAGAAGATAGGAAGAATCCACTCCAATGTCTTTCCTTGCCTTTGATGAACTCAAGAATCAGGACTAGAAAAAGGACAATTGTGTGAGGTCCTCTGGGATCAAGACGGGGAAACATGGCTGAGGAAAGTGAAGGCCAGAAAGACGTGGGAGAGCCCCCTTCCCTTCGTATTATTTTGAACCTATTCCCCCTATTTTTTTGTGTAGGTTTTTGTTTGTTTTAGACAAAGTTGCGTGTAGCCTAGGCTAGCCTTGAACTCATTGTGTAGCTGAGATGGCCTTGAACTTCCAATCCTCTTGCTTCCAACACCAGAGTGTTGGGATTACAAGTGTGGGCCACCATGTTAAACTGTATGTCTCTGCTTAAGATAGATAAGGACAAAAGTTGAAAATGAAGAGGGTTAAGTAGAATGTATAAAAAAGAAAGATGAAGAAGAAAAGGGAGAAGGAAATTGCTTGTGATTTGTTCATAATGATGGCTGTAAATAAATGTTTCATGCTGACAAAATCATCTTGTCTGAATGCTCTGCTATGAACAGCATCCAAAGTAAAAGTCCCTGTAATTTGGCTCCTGCATCATTATTTTCTGAAACCTCCCTCCATTCATTGTTACCAACGGAACAACCCATGGCACCCTCATTTCCCCTCAGCTTTCTCCAGGATCTGACTGGCTGAAAACTGAATCTCATCCTAAAACTGTCTCTTCTCTTGGCTCCAAAGATAGCATAACCTCCTAGGTGAGGTTTTCCATCCTTCCCTAACCCAAAGGCAGAGATCCTCCCCAGAGGGGTGTGGCTTTGTCCCAGGTGATGCTGTCAGCAAGGGTTAAAGCTATGCTTTGGGTTGGAGCATGGACCATGTCTGACCTAGTCTGAAAAACTGAACTGACCCCACAGTTATTCTCTGGCCTCCATACATGTGCCATAGCAACCCCCCACAACACCTATCATGCGCTCACATGTACAATTATTATGTACAATAATAAATAGATAATTTTGAAAATTGAACATTGTACAGAAAGATTAATAGAATTGTGGAATGGAGAGATTTTGGAAATAACATAATTCAAACATGTTTTCTTTTTAATATTTATTGTTTGAAAATTCAAAACACGTATGTACTTTGTCTTCATAGAGTACAGCCCCCATCTCCCTCTCGCCCCTCCCATCCTCTCCCACTTTACCCTCCCAATTTCTTGTGTTCTTTTTATAATTCAGTGACTCCACTTAGTGTTGCCAGTGTGGGGGTCTCTGAGGCACCCAGGGCTAGCGATGATCCCAGTGAGGCAAGAGGAAAATCAGGCTCAGCAAGACTTAGCCAGCGCTGGTTCAAACTTTCAGAGTCTGACTGACCCCAAGCAGTTTACTGTAAGCATATTTAAATAAGCACAGTACAACCTGGGGGGAGGGGAGTTTCCTGGTGTAATACAATCCCCTGTGCACAAGGAGGCATAATTACATTGAAACTCAACTCAAGTAATGTCATTTCTTCCAAGAAGATGGGTTCTAGAGATAGAACCTGTATTAGCTGAAGGGCCTAGGAAGGGGTCTGGCCTGTTCTCAATCATACAGATAGCACAGAGGTCATTTGGGCTATTAGCTCCCTCTGGTCCTGGTTGGGGGAGCTTGGGGGAGCCTCTGGCCATATAGATAATGCAAAGGTCACCTAGACTATTAGGTATTGCAGATCCTGGTTGTGGAAGGTTGGTATGGCCTGGCAATTCAGAATATACAGATCACCAGGCTATTAATCAACTCCATTCCCAGCTGTATAGGTAGAAAATCAAGTTAGGTCCCGACCTGCAAATGTCAACCTGGGGCAAGAGAGTCAGGGATAGGGAATGGGGACAAGAGACGCAGAAAGAACGACCACAAAACAGGATTCTGATCAAGTGGCAAACTTTACTTTTTTCTCAGGCTAGCTTATATAGTCAGGATATGGAGAGGGGCAAAATGGGTTGTTTGTGCACCAGGTGTT